TTGGCGTCCCAGAATGCTAGGATTACAGGCGTGAGCCACCGCGCCCAGCCTAGGTATCATTTTTAAGCTGGCTTTGATCTTTTGGAATAGAGTAGAACATAAAAAAATACCTCACACCAGAATAGTATAGTTTGGAATTTTAAAATTCTAAAATACTTTAATAATTAATATTGATGGGAAGACTGATATACAATGCAATTATTTATTTTACAAGGAGATTCTGTACATCAGGGAAACATCTTGAAGTACAATACACCAGACTTTTATTTCTGCTCTACATGATTGTGAGTTTCCATGTAAGTTGGTACTTACATAGAAAGGGAACACAGAATTCATTTTTATATATACAATACAAACAAACACCTGAACAGACTTGACCCCCAAAGTGTCTTGTTTCAAAAGAACACTGAATGAGATGAAAGATTAACCAGATCCCTTGGTGGCACGTGGAAGGCAGACCAGTAGCTCAGGAAATCAAATCCTGTCTCAGGCTTGGCACATTCAGGGTAAGAAAGGCAGTGAAAGAAGGGTTTGAAAATGTCACCTCAGGCCACAGAGAATGCTGGCATAAGCAGTCTCCAAACCGACAAGACAGAATGGTTAGAAGTTGTCAAGTTAGCAATTTAAGTGTGGCTACCTTATATCCAGACCTCTAACAGAGGAATCATCAGTAGAATCATCACTTATCTCCCCTCAGTTATCCCAAGTGTTAATGAACTTCAAGGAGATGTGGATCTAGTTATTATTTCCATAGCCATAAACATTTGACAGTAACGGAGAAATCCCAACCCCCCCTTTTCCCTCAACAGAGAGAAGACACTGCCTTTTAAGGTCACTTTGGATTTTTTGTTGTGATCTGATATTCCGCTTCTTCAGTAAGTCTTATGTGGATGTGAAAGGAGAAAAACCTACTGAAAGATTATATAACAGAAAAAATGAAGGGACCTACAGAATAAATCAGAAGAGATCCATGAAATAGCCACAATTTCTTGAACATTAAAGTGAAGGCAAAAAGCTACATTCATCAGTTAAATAAAAACTATTTTTTTCTTCTACTTATAGTGTGGATGGGAATTAGAGGGAAATGGTGAGGCTGTATGGTTTTCAATAAAAATTCAAACAAAGCAACGAAATCTTCTGTTTTAGGAAATCATATTAATGTATATTACAAACACAGAAAGGGAGGGTGCTGAGCCAATGCCCAGGCACCAAATACGCTGGCTACAGTGTGGGACAGGAGGGTGATGAGGTGGAAGCCGCCAGAGGGGGTGAGCAGGAGGATGGGTGCAGGAGTGAAGAGGGATGGGGGGGCAAACGGCACAGAGAAGAAGAGGGGGCAGTGGACCACGATCGTGCCACCTTCTTGCTTCTCCAAAGACCTTTCCCTATCTAGCGCCCCACATCCCTTAGGATCTTGCTGTGATTCTGGCTGGAAGCGTGGGGACAGACAGCTCACAAATGCTCCCACAGAGCTGCTACAACTCTGCTTTACGGAGAGTACATTTATTGGTCAAGATGATTTAGAATATCATTTGGTACAATAAAAGGACAATAGCCTACAAACTTTAAGCCATGAGTCAGTTTTCTGCCAAGTTGGCATTAATATTAAGGCCTTTTCTTATTTTTGCATATAGAAAATATATATGCTTTCTCATTTAACCAACATGGATTCTGGTTGTAGCTCAGATTGCTTAACAGACAGGAAAAACAGAAGTTCCCATTCCTTTAAGATCACTTTTTAATAATCAGGATGGCATGAAAGAAATGAGGAACGTGTCAGATCCTGAGCTTCCTCTCGGGCTAGAGTGCCTGAGACTATATTGCTGTGTCACAAGAGGTACAGTGCAATGCTTTCATCTGACATGCCAGTGTGGTAGGAAGGCTTTTCCTGGAGGTGGGGACCCCTTTAACAGAAGGTTGGGAGCCTCCAGGTTTTTCCTCCCACGAATTGGATTTAATGGCTGGAATTTAGCACCTGCATAAGTAGGTCTCACACCCAGGGCAGGGCAGGTAAGGCTGATGGTGCAGACTGTGCCTCAGCACAGGGAGTCATCTTGGGGAGAGGGTGTGGCGCAGCTAATGAAATCTGGAACCTGCAACTGGCCTAGAACTTTGGTGGCTGGTGAGGGAAAAATCCCTCGAGTATGCTGCGTTATCAAAAGGTTCAAAAGCACTAACAAATGTTCAGTTTTGCCCCAGGGGCAGCACGTGAGAATCCGTTCCAGTGAAATGCTACATTCATAGAAGTGCTGTTCACCCCAGAACTAGATCCCAGAGGATGCAATTCTGGCTGTGCTGGGAAGTGCTAAAGTTCACTCCATATGTCACTCTGGAGACTGCAGTGGCAAAGCAGCCCTGTTTGGGGGGTCGTTTTAGTTCATCTTTCAAATTTTGGCATCAAGGACGATGGTAGCTAAAAGAGATGATCAAAAAGAGACAAGTTACCAGATAAAGTACATTGCTTTGCTATTATCGTATCAGTAGTAATGAAATGTTACATTCTGATTAGAACTGCCTCTCGTCTGGCTCTAATTCTACCTGGCCTTTCTGTTGCATATTCCTCAGCCCCTTCCTTCTTTCTTGAAACTCTCTTCTCTTGGCTTCTGTAACACTATCTTTTCCCTAGTTTCGTTTCTTCTTCAATTGCTCTTCCTCAGTATACTGTCCTGGTTCATTTTTCTCTGTCCACTCTTTGCTTTTTATTCTTTTTTTAAAAATTTTTTTCTTTTTTGATAGAGTCTCACTCTGTTGCCTGGGCTACAGTGCAGTTGCATCATCATAGCTCACTGCAACCTCAAACTCCTGGGCTCCAGTGATCCTCCTGCCTCAGCCTCCCAAGTAGCTGGGACTACAGATGCATGCCACCACGGCTGGCTATTTTTTCTATTTTTTGTAGACAGGGTCTCGCCATGTTGCTCAGGCTGGTCTTCAACTCCTGCCCTTAAGGGTTCCTCCCGCCTCAGCCTCCCAGAGTGCTAGGATTACAGGTGTGAGGCACAGTCCCCAGCCTGTCCACCATTTAAATAAAAAACAGTTTCCCCCCTAAGGGTCTACTGTCTTCTCTCATTTGTATCTTTAGACCTTGTTTTCTTTCTGGACCCTACACTGAATATCTAATTGTCTTCTAGGCGTCTCCATCCCAATGTGTCACAGGCCCGTCAAACTCAACATAGATAATTTTTTTCTAGCTTTTTATTGTCTGCCTTCCTCTTTTAGAATAAAAGCTCATTGAGAATAGAAACTTTTTTCTGGTTTCCTGCTGTATCCCAGGGACCTAGCACTTATCTATCTTATAGTAAGTGCTCAGTAAACATCTGTTGAATAAACTGTTCACCTGAACTCCTTATCACCTTCACAGATCTCAAAAAATACAAGGTAGAAATTTAAGAGTCATTTTGATTACTCCTTTATTTCATCTCTGGAATCCAACAAATTGCCAAATCCTATTGATTCTATATTTGAAATGTCTTTCAAATCTATCTCCTTTGCATTCTCACTATTACGTCCCTGGTCTGAGCTACCACTATGCTCACCATCACTACTTTTTTTTTCTTTTAGGCTACTCAAGTGAAGCAGTGGGAGTGGAGAAGGAACAAAGGAATCTGTGACTGGTTGTGATCAATTAGCTGTAAATATCACTGCACTCAGACCAGCCCACTATGACTATTCCAGTCACTTCCTGAATGATTTCTTTGCTGCTAGTCTCCTTCCATAGCACCTTCCACAGTTCCAACAGAGCTTGTTTTTGTTTCATTTATTTATTTAAAGCCAGTCAAATTTAGCAGTGGGGGGTTGAATACCAACTTTAGTGACACTAATGTTAAAAGTTCTGATAACCCACTACCATCAGACCAGTTGCTGTTCAAAGAATTTGCCCTCTCCACTCCTATCAGGTTCAGCACAAAAAAATTCTGTAATCAAAATAACCATTTGCCTATATAATGATGAAAAAACACTTAACATTATATTTTCCATCTCTGCTTGTTTCTTCTTTTTATAGCAAGCTCTGTAATTGTCATTATGTGTTCTTTCATTTAGTGTCTTTTCATAAATGTTCTGAGAGAGTCATATACAGATACTTTAACTGATTGCATTTGTGGCTAGCTGATTCTTTAGATATTGTAGGTTCTTATTCTTTTTTTTTTTTTTTTTTTTGAGACAGAGTCTCACTGTCTGCCCGGGCTAGAGTGCCGTGGCATCAGCCTAGCTCACAGCAACCTCAAACTCCTGGGCTCAAGCAATCTTTCTGCCTCAGCCGCCCGAGTAGCTGGGACTACAGGCATGCGCCACCATGCCCGGCTAATTTTTTCTATATATTTTTAGTTGTCCAATTCATTTCTTTCTATTTTTAGTAGAGACGGGGTCTCGCTCTTGCTCAGGCTGGTTTCGAACTCCTGAGCTCAAACAATCCGCCCGCCTTGGCCTCCCAGAGAGCTAGGATTACAGGCGTGAGCCACCGCACCCGGCCTGTAGGTTCTTATTCTTAATCACAACAGTAATTCCAAATCAAAACACTTCTTAGCTTGTTTCATGAAGACAGCTAATTAAAATGAAGTTTATTTACTAAGATCAACTGTGCTAAACAGAACTGAAACCAGAGAGGGCAAGGTCTTGTCTAACTTAGCATAATCTCCTTATTCATACCCGGGAGAGTGAAGTGCAAGGAAGAGAGCACCCCAAAGCTTTGAAGTCATTCATTCCTTTTTCCAAATCCTGATTCTGTAATTTACTAGGAAGTCAAGCAAGTTAACGCTTCTGAGCCTCCATTTCCTCAAATGATAAAATAGGGACATTAACACATCTTGTAGGTTTACTGCAAGGATTAAATAAGATAATATACATAAAATGCCACATTCAAATGAGGCATTTACTATTGTCTGTTACTTCTCATCCCTTTCTCTGAATGTAGTCTTCTTGTCCTCAACACTGTGTGTTCTCCTTTTTATTGATGTCGTTATAGCCCTTCATATCTGAAAACTCCAGTTTTTTTGGGGGAGGAAGCTCTACTTAGCTCACAGTACTGGGTCTTTCGGATCTTACCGTGTAAAATGTTTGCTCTCTTCATGAACCTCCATCTCTGAGCTTTTAAATTCATTTAATTCTTTTCTTATGGCAGCCTGTGGAGTAGAAACAAAACGTTTCAGCTTCTTTTGGCTGCTGTGCTATAGCAGTGTGACTTCCCACCTATTCTCTATTGTGCTCTGAGCACAATACACATCACCTTCCTGGACACCATTCGTCCCATAATAAACCTAAAATCTTGAGTTTAATCAAAATATGTGCAAAACCTGAAAGAGATATTGTAGCTTTAATAGTTTTCACAGCATGCAAAAATGCTTTTCTCATTATAAAAGTGAAATATGGGTAATTACTAAAATATACAACCCACAGTCCCTCCAACCAAACGTAACGACTGTTAAAAATGATTTCCTTCCAGTTTTTTTACTGTGTTATATAGCAGGGATTTTGTTTTCTTCAGTGTTGGAAGTGGAGTCATTAGTATAAACTTTTGGTTTCTACATCTTGGCATTTTGTATTCTCATTTGAAATCTAACATTATATTAAAATTAGAAGCTTTGTTTGTAGTTCTCCCTTCTAGTTAGTATCTTGCATCCTTCAAATAAAAGAGAAGTAGAGAGAAAGAGAGTGCCTGAACAAGAGAGCGATTTCCAGGTACCTTGTCAGCAGGGGTCAGTTTGGTCCAAGGTTTGTCAGCTCGCCGATCATAATCTTGAGCATCCGTTACCTCGACATATTCATTAAACCTCAGAATCTTCCTGGCAAGTAGTTCAGCCACAGTTGGCCTTTGACTGAGCTGAAAGAAATGGAGTCTCTTAGTTCACTAAGCCAGGAATTAGGTGTCAATCATTCATTCAAATTGCTTCTAACCCAGTATCTCAACCTTCATTGCACATTGGACTCACCTGAGGAGCTTTAAGCACTATTGATTCCTGGGTCCCATCCCCCAAAGATTCTGGGCAGTAAGACTTTTTTTTAAAGCCTTTCACTGCACAGCTAAGATTGAAAAGCACTGCTGTAATCTAGTGCTTCTCAAACTTTAATATGCATCCAAATCATTTGGGATCTGCTTATGGTGTAGATTCTGATTAAGCAGGTCTCAGGTGGAGCCTGAGATTAGGCATCTCTTACAAACTCCCAGGTGATGCCAATGTTGCCTGGTCCATGGCCCACATTTTGGGTAGCAAGGCAATTGTAAATTTTATTTCAACATGAATAATGCCCAAGATAGCAGATTCTGTAACACATTATGCTTTAAAGTTGCACAATAATGTAATGTAACCCTGCTCAATCTGGCATTAAATCTAGCCATGGCTTCTAATTATCAAGGATAATCCCTCTGTTTCTGGGGAGGGAAGGAATGGGCAAAATCAAGAAAAGAGTATGTAGATCCTTTGCTCTCCTGGGGAATTCTTATAAGTTTTAATAAATATCTGGAGAACTCAGACCAAATCAGAATCTACAGGAGGTAATCACAAACTTATGGTGGGAAGGACAGGAGAAAAGGATTAATCCCTGGGCTTAAAGGTTAACACAGGTCTAGTTAAGAAAAGATTCTTTCCTAATCGATCTGGGACCAATGAGAAAATCATGGTTTTTCATACTTTTCAGGTTTTACTACTCAGGGTTATTTAAATTCCTTCCCTGCTTAGAAAACAACCAGTTTGTTTTTCAAAATTGAATGCTACACACTCCTCCGGTTACTGTCTCTACACATCAGTGAGTTTTAGTGTCTATATCAAAATCATAGGACTACCAAATAAAAGGTCAAAATTTATTTTGTCAAACATTTATTGAACATCTTGGGCTAGGCCTGTGTGAGATATTAAAAATGAAGAGAAAAAAACCCTCTTTATAATGTTATTTTCTATATTTGCATCATGTATATTTTCATAGCAACCTATGGCACTTAGAGTCAAATTCATTTATTTTCAATCAAACAGGTCATTGAAATATAACATAGTCAACTGAACCCAAGGGCAGCAATACCTTTCTAGTGAGGCGACGTTTAATCTCCCGTTTTTCTGCCTGACGATCAGCTTCATTTTTAGCTATATTTGACAGTCAGAAACAAAGAATATTACTTCAAAATGGCTGCACGTGTGTTTTCAATTTGTATATCAAACTTTTAGTAATTACACCAGATATTTCTTACAGGTCCAAATCAGAATAAAATTTGGGAATGGCTAATCAAGACAATTTTCTTGTCAACTGGTACAGTCAAATACTTAAGGCTGGGCATAATGGCTCATGCCTGTAATCCTAGCACTTTGAGAGGCTGAGGCGGGAGGATCGCTTGAGGCCAGGAATTGAAGACCAGCCTGAATAACATGCCGAGACCTTGTCTACAAAAAATAAAAAAATTAGCCAGCCATAGTGGCGTGCGCCTGTAGTCCCAGCTACTTGGGAAGCCAAAGCTGGAGGACTGCTTGAGCCCAGGAGTTTGAGGTTGCAGTGAGCTATGATGATGCCACTGCACTCTAGCCTAGGCTACAGAGTAAGACCCTGTCTCAGAAACAAAAACAAAAACTTAAGAACAAGGATTAGCAAGCTATGGTACCAAATCTGGCCAGTTGCCTTTATTTTTACTGCCCATGAGGTAAGAATGGTCTTCACATTTTTAAATGTTTTTATAAGTACCTACAAAATAGTTGTTCATTTGCTTTTTGGCCTGTAAAGCCAAAAATATTTACTACGTGTCCTTTAAGAAAAAGCTTGCAGATTCTTGCTCAAGAGTATCTGCTAAGAATGGACAATAGAGATGACATCAATTTTCATGTGTTATGTCTATACAGGCTCCCACACTTTAAAATTCCCTAAGTGATTAAATTATGAATATCCAAATAGTGCTGAGAGAACAGGGAATGGGTTGGTCAGACTGAGCATGCCCACAAATAACCCCAGGAAAGCCTAAACCTCTTCAGTAAGGCTTTTAAGGCCAAATGTCACTCTATGCTCTGGAAAATCAAATCAGTACTGGATTAGAATGCTATTTCAGGAAGTTAATTATATACCTAGACAGCAAATTAAATACATCATCCTATTTTGTGACTCTAGAGGCAAGAAAGTCTTAAGGGATTAAAGTGGGAGGAAAACTGCTTCATTTGGCACTTGCTTTGGGCTTCAGTCCTCAGATCCCACTAGGAACAGGAAGGTCTCCACCACATGCACAGCCACCACCTTAGCTCCCTGAAGACAGAGATCTATGTTGGGCACATCTCCCACATACTGTCAAATCCTCCCAAATGCCCAAGGCAGTCCCAGGATACTGTCAGAACATTAAAACAAAATTTTCTGGGGTATCACAGTACACGAAACAATACCATAATGACATCTTCCCAAGGGAAGCTTGGTGGAGTTCTTTTCCTTTAGGGGAAAAAATATGAATAATCCTTTCCTGGCTGGAACACTCTCTCCTTGGTCATTGTAACAAATGCTTCTTTCCTCTTTTGTATATATTATAGGCAGAAACATACCAAAAAAACTATACAACTTTATTTCCATAGCCAGACTCACGTTGTAATATATTTCGTTGTTCCAGTTCTTCTGGTGTTGGTCTTTGACTCAGTCGCCTAAAAAGGAGATAAACAGGGGTATCGTCTATGTTAGACCTCTCAATTTTGTTTATAAAGATTTTTTTGGCCATAGTTTATATTAGCCCCTATACAATAAGAAATCAATAATTTTCCAAACTGATATATTGCATTTGTCTGCTTGCTTATAAAACAATTTCACATTGAAAATGCTAACACAGATACCACATTGTAAAAAGGAACTCTATGTGCAAACAGGAGGCCAGGATTTAAGTTCTAGCTCTGACATCAATAAAAGATACCACCATAAAAGACCCTGAGTGTTCTCATCTGTAAAATGAAGATTTGGACTGAACT